ATTCACATCTCACCAGGGACTCATCCACTGTACTGCTATTAGAACCCAACTGAACAATGAGCTCTCAACAATCTATCCTCGAACATAAAAAAAATCATGCTCACTCAGAAGTGTCCTCAGACATCTAAAATCATAAGCCCCGACTCCCTCTCCAATATCCCTTTCAACACTGAGTACCAGGTCAGCTCCCGACCCCACAGTTGAACCTCCAAAGGTTACCCATTGCATGCCCCAAAACGTCTCACTGACTTTCTTCTCACAGAAACTATCTCAGTCCATTGTGAAGTTTGCTTTACCCCAAACGAATACCACAATCCCAAGTAAAATCGTCTCACCCTCGACCTCTGTTGTTTACTATTCATTAGTTACATGCGCCTCGCGGTCCTTCCCATACAAATAAACTGACCCACTCAAGTCTAAAACATCAGATGACATCCAATACTCCTCAAAATGAAACCCATCTCTGAATCCGAAATCTCATTCTCCTACTCAATTCACCACCCAAGCCAAACTCAAACTCAAGCATCTGGTCCGACATAGAATTGGCACCACTCATCCCAATAAAGCACTCAACTCATGACCCATGACCCGCAACCCACGCGTACACCACTTCTCTAACTCCCTTCGATTGCGATAACCACAACTTAACTCAAAATATAACGATCCCCGACAAAAATGAAGACTCCAAACGCGCCCCTGGTCCGACCACCAGATTCTTGAAACTCGAAGAATAAGGCTACCCAAGCCTAAAAACTCTTTTGCACCATGCTCTAACTAGCAAATAATACCTCGTAGTATCATAACATTCCCTCACACTAACCAACGAAGGCTATGGCTCCCCGCAAGCCTATGACACTCTCTCATTGTGTGACATCCCCATTTTCACGGCCAAAAACTACCGATTTTGTTTATGCTTGTTTGAAAATCAGAGTAATATTTTTCATAAAAGTGTTGCTTAATTTGTTCCCAAAATAAAATATGATAAAGATTTATCAAAGCATTTCCGTAGAAATCTATTTCATTAAAAAGACTCGGGATGTCATGTTCGATACAGATCAAAAACATAAACAGTATAATATAAGTCTTACTACATTATTTCGTATCTACAAGCCTATATCTGTAATCCTTATCCAAAACATCACATCTATGCTCGAGCGCTACTACCTGTAATACATGAAATTGAGTGGGTCAGGCTTGGGAGCCTGGTGAGCACATAGGGTTTTTAACCCACAATAAATAAGTTTATTAATTTCATCAACCAACAATAACCCGATTACCCGTTCCCGTTATCCTCACATTACGTCCCTAAAACACCTATCATAAGGGACCTAGACTAAGGATCAACATCGAGATGGACACTAATACTAAGGGGATTCCTCAGCAATAAATGTCCTTAAGGCAACCATGTAGGGGATGCAGTACACTGGTGAACACATCGTTCACAAACACCTACAAGCAAGCCTGCCAACGTTCCACTGGACTATCTAGAAGAGTCTGTGGTCGTCATCCATACTCCGCTAGATGACAGAATCAACAACAACAACATCGAGGCCTCTCATCATTTTATCACACATCGTCTTAGTACATATACCCATGTTTTACCCCGACATTTTTGTAGATATAAAATACTTATACATTTTAATTTTTACATTCACCCTTAGATCACATCAGTAGCAAAAACTATATGCTCGTCGATTATAGAACCCTCATAGGTCGAATCAACGCCTCACGTCGGATCTGATGTGACGAATAAAAGCTAACGATACAAAGGATCGACTCGCACCCGTGTCAAATAACATCAAAGAAGGTACATAACTCACAAGAAAAGTACCTATACACAACATAATATAAGCACAACACATCTCAAAGGAATATAAATAAAGAATACGTAACGGATACGACGTCAGGTGTTGCGCAGACCTCCTTTACTGTTAGTTGAAAGGCTCTCCCACGAACCCTCGGTGTCTCGACCTTCGTAGGTCGACTCTTAGTATCACATAAAGCAACAGGTGCATATCCTTGTGCTGATCCCTGAAGAAGCTGGGGGCACTCAGCCTTCCGATGGTCGGTATGGTTGCAGTGAAAGCAGACTGAAAACCCCTTGTGTTAATCCTTCGCCATATGCCCCTCTTTGCCATATTTGTTGCAAATCCTCGCTCGACACGATCCCTCATGACTCTTGTTGCACTTACCACAAGTGCGAACCTTCTGGCCCTCAGTCCTCGTATCAACGGGCTTAGCCCGCATTGCTGCCGACTGCGACTGCACTGGTCTCCAATCCCTACCTTGGGACTCCTCATCCTCTCTGGTCTGTAACTCTAGCTCGATCTCCCTCCGTATGGCATTGGTATGAAGCTCAACCAATGTCCTATATGAAGAGTTCGCCATGAACTCTTGTATATCCCTCCTCAATATGCTTAGATACCGACTTACACATGCATGCTCAGTGGACACGTGTTCAGGGCAAAACAACGTCCTCTCATGGAACATCCTCGTAATCTTAGTCACAGACTCTGTCTTCTGCTTGAGAGACAGAAACTCTTGGGATAAACGTTCCCTTTACATAGGGGGAACATACTCATCTCGAAATAATTGGGTAAACCTCTCCCATGTCACTGCAGCATAATCTGCACGAGTAAAACTGGTAGTCACAAACTTCCACCAGTCCTTCTCCCCCCGTGCGAAGATGGTTCAGCGTAAACTGAACCCTCAACTGATCAGGACATGAACATGTGTAAAAACACTCCTCTATATCATAGATCCATCTCATGGAAGCAATCGGATCTTGGGTCCCATTAAACTCTGGTGGATTCGTGTTACTAAACTCCTAAAACAACAACGAGTCACCTCCCTGTGGCCTGGCAGCGGCGACAGCTGCAGCAGCAGCCACCTTAGTAACAACAACATATCGCTCATCAAACGTCTCAAATAGTGTGGTCTTAATAAACCCAAACATCTCAGGAATTTCCTCGCGTATGGCTGCGGCCACCTCCTCATGAATCATCCTGCGTATCTCATAATCACTAGTCTCACTGCTCCCAGGGTTGTGGCGTGTAACCACTATGATGTCTCTGAAACATAACACAAAAATCATCAGAGACTTGCTCGAGTATACCCACACTCGATCATTCGTCCCTACTTGTTCCTTAGCATCCTAAGGATTCTTACTTGGGTTGCATACATATTCGGTACTTTTAGTAGTACAGGCCCAATACTACCTTCCACACCAACCTGTAGTCACCCCAAGTCCGCCTCCTAGAATCCCAGTTCACAAGTACTCTAACTCTCATGAATAACATACTACCCTCTTAGTAGATATCCCATATGCTCATCTAGGTATCTATCCTAGATTATCTCCCGACTCATAACTCTCTCTCTAAGGATCCTGCTAGATACTCTCACTAAGCACATATTTAAAGCACATAACAATTAGCAATAGGGATGGCAACGGGGCGGGTTTGGGACGGGTTTTGGTAATCCCGCCCCCATCCCCGAATATGAAAATCGATCCCATCACCAACCCGAATCCTAATGGGTACCCATTTACCAAACACTATCGGGTCTGCGGGTATCCCAACGGGGTAACCGGGATCCCCATAAACGGAAGTTTATAAACAAACACATACAGACTATATACAACACATAAACGGAAGTTTATAAAGCATGAAACTTAATGACAGGAAAAGTAAAAAACTTAAAGGAGACTTTATAGAAAGAAAGATCACACTTACTTGCCACAAATGGTTGAAGACATCAACAAGAAGATCAATCTGAACATAGAATCCACATGTTGTCTGATTATGACTTCAGTAGATGAACTACTGAAACGTAAGAATTGCAATTGAACTCTATTAGCATTTGAAAAGGCAATCAGGGTTAAAAAAATTTTTGGACCATTTCTTGATTTGTGTGTGTCATCCTTGCGCAGGGGCCATGCTAATCTTCTCTGTATCGTTCCAATTTTATCGGATGTCCCCAAAGGGACGACTATAGATGAAGAGCTTCGCCATATAGAGGAGTAGTAGGTTATATAGGACGACGCGGGTTCTAAACGAAGTAGTTTACTGTTGATGGTCATATATTCTCAATGTCTTTAAAATTAAGGTTAATGACTTAGGAGGGTAATAAGGTTTCCAGTTTGTCCGTATTAGGTCACTAAGGTTTTTTTGTGCGTATTAGACCAATATGGTTGTTATTACCGTTTAGAAATAGTCATTTTTAACCATTAAAACCGGTAAAATGACTATTTCTAAACGGTAATAACAACCATATTGGTCTAATACGCACAAAAAAAACCTTAGTGACCTAATACAGACAAGCTGAAAACCTTATTACCCTCCCAAGTCATTATCCCTTGTTTATGTGCTGATTTTGATTAATTTTGCAACTTCAATTTCTTAGTTCATGCTGTGGTTTTGCTTTTTATAAAATAATTGATAATAGGCATCATCTGCAAGTCACTGTTGGTTTTACATTTCTATTCGTTAGACATTGATGAGAGGTATCAAAGTGAGATTTTGTTTTTGTGCATATGGATGTGTTCATGTAAACATTTAAATGATAAAAAAGAAGTTATTGATAAAATGTTGCATATTTATGTAATGAATATCATCAATCAAATGAGTTTCTGGACTTAGAAGTTCTGGAAAAGTTGTGAGATAAGTTTAAATGGAAGCAACTATTTTCAATCAAACAAATCAGTCACATTGATTAGTAAGCATGTTTTCTAAATAATTATGGTTAATGACTTAAGAGGGTAATAAGGTTTTCAGTTTGCCCGTATTAGGTCACTAAGGTTTTTTTGTGCGTATTAGACTAATATGGTTGTTATTACCGTTTAGAAATAGTCATTTTTACCCGTTAAAACCGATAAAACCGATAAAAAAACTATTTCTAAACGGTAATAACAACTATATTAGTCTAATACTAATTAAAAAAAAAAAAAAAAAAAAAAAAAAAAAAAAAAAAAAAATAGCAATTCAGCAAAATTGAAATTTGATATCACAACAATATACAACCCTAGTCTCTCTGCGGGGGTGTTCCTTTGGGATTTTGAGGTCGGAGTCACTGATGAGCATTAGGAGTTTTTCGAGTTTCCATTCGCAGCAGTTCGTCTTTTCCTTTTGCTCTGAATGACATTCATAGCGTCAACGGACCGAGATTGATAAGCATAAATCTCTTAATCTCTCTGCATATATTTAGTTCTGGAATCGAATCGATCATGGTGGGACAGAAGCTGTTAAAAACGAGGATATGCGTACTGTATAGAAAGGGTCAATGCCATCGTCAGAGCTGCTCCTTTGCCCATGGGGATGCCGAGCTGCGTCGCTACAATACTTCTTCGTCCTCCTTCAACGGTACGCATTTTCGCTTTAATTTATCATTAACACCAGTTATGTTTCAATTAGGGCTAGCATACGGTTAGAGAGTGATATCAGGATCTGAGAGTCGTTAAATGTTGCAGGAGGCCACTAGGGTAACGATGACCACTATATATGTGTTTGTGACCACATACCATAGTTGATTAGCGCTAGCATACCCTCTGTCCCTTTCTCTAATTTTAGGTACCATTCTGCGATAATGATAGAATAACATATTCGAGAGAAATGTTCAATAAACGATTAAATTGGTTGATTGCAAATTTGCAATGGTACTCTAATAGTGGATAGATACTATTGCTGCCATTATGATTTATCAATCGTTGTATATTAAATTTCAATTGATAGGGTAAAGAAGGTTCATGGAACTACCAATTCCTGTATGCTTCCCAGTTATGATCATTTGTTAAAGTTTATACATTGATTTTTGAATGGTTTTCGCATCTAATGATCTAACTATTTGCATTTCCGTTTAATATCTAACCTACTTCAGTAGGCCCATGCTTGCATTTTGGTTGTTTCCCAAGTGGCCATTTGATCCTTGATATATCTTAGAGCTTCTACAACTCTCTTTGAGCTCTTTAGGCTGCAGTTCAACTTCTCTTAAATCTAGCTTAAGTCAACAGGTTGCAGCAGATAGATAATGCTTTTATGAGTATATGTATAACAGCAAACTTCCAACTTATCTTTGATTGACTGGAGATATGTCATCAAGTTTTTCTGTTGGGACTCATAACTGTATCAGCAGTGTCTTATCCCATTATCAATTATCAAGACATCATCCAACAGGCATATTATGTTTTCATCAGAAGGGGTTGCTGGTTGGTTTTTCTTATTGCTGCTTATGGTATTATTCTCGGGAACTTCATCTTCATGGGCATTCATTCTATCTTCCATAACTTGCACGTCATCAGATGGATTTTTTCATACATTCAAACACTTTTCTCTTAAGTTCTCACATTCATGGGGATGGAGTCTCTGCTATTTTGTCTTCTTGACTCCTTCACTTCATGAACATCATACAGCCAAGGAGAATATCAGACATATTGTAATATTATATTCATATTGTTCAAGAAGAGAAAATCTATCATCTTCTTATCCGTTCCACGACATGTGAAAGTATTCTCAATATTATACCTCAAAATTAGGATATATTACATATCTACTTCTTTCCGTTTTATATGAGAGGTGTAGTTTCTATGGATTGACCCCTTTGGAAGTCGATTGAAGGTTAGGCACCATAACTTTTCATTATTCTATTAAGATTTGGTTCCATCTAATGGTAAGGTGTATATTTTGCTAATGACTATGGCCCACATGGTTATCTTATTTGCAATGATTAAGAGGATACTCATCTTCAACATACTGGAAATATTCTTTTCATGTTTTGCAGGGAGGCAGGACTACAGAGGTGCGGATTTAAGAGATAAGCTTGGCAGACATCGCTCTCCACCTCATAGAAACTCTCTTGAAAGAGATGCAAGAGACAGATTCCCATCTCAAGGTTAGAACCTACCTCTAGCTTTATATCCAAACTTCTTCAATATCCTCACTTCTTATTTTGTTTGTACAATTTCTTTATTTGTGAAACTAACTTTTGTTATGTTGCAGGACATGGTTCTCCAAGATTTGGGAAAAAGAGGTGTGTTTCTGAAGTTATCTCTCTCTCTCTCTCTCTCTCTCTCTCTCTCTCTCTCTCTCTCTTTGTTTTTGCCCCTTTCTCAATTCTCTTTTTATTTGTTTTTTGTTCTGAAGTTACCTGAATATTTGAGTAGGCTAATATGTTTCTTGGGTTAGACTTATTGTGATACCCATTTTTCACTTTTGGGTGCTTTCGCATGCTTATCTTTTACATCTCTTGTCCACGGATTTATTTATTTATTTTTTCATTTTGAACAATATTTCTATTACATTATAGTTCAAATACATAAATAACTTTGAAAGCTTTTAAAGTAGAATTGCAGAAGCAGAACCCAGTAACCTATAGTACATCAAAAGCTGTTACCGGTCTTTATTTACTTTCTAGATCCTGAGATGCATACATGAATATGAAAGCTTTATGCTTAGTGATTAGTTAAGGTTTCATGCTTGAATACATTTCAAAATACATGTTAATCTTTATAAAACATCATACAATATACTAAAACAATTCAACTTTTAAAATTTGAGATCGCACTGTAAAGTATAAGTAAGCCATACTTTTCCACTTATCCCAGGGTTATACATAGGCAAGACAACCTTTCATTCTATATCACATATGTTGGATATCATAATGGCAACACTTGTATGTAAAAACAGTTTTATACATGCTGTATATCCATTGTAAACTGTATGCATATGCTATATCATCCTATCTTTTTATATATGCATAAACCCATTGTCAAGTACTTTCATAAACATTCTTTCATGCATATAAACATTTATACATAGCACATATACACCATGTAAATCAATAAACACTCACCTTGACTTAACTTCTATCCAGTTCTGATTCAGTAATCATCTTTTTAATCTTAAAAGACTTGTATTATGTTTATAACATGGTTATAGATCCATTTGAGCTTTTACATAGGTTACAAAAGGCTTCGGGGTCATGATATGCCAATTGCTTGCTTGCTTAGTGTAACTGTAAATGTTACACATTTTCTCTTTTGACACCTTAAACTTTCAACAATTACATTCCAGATTTTAAGGCTTATTATTTAAGCTCCTTAACAACATACACTGTCTTTCCTTCTTACCTTGCTCTTTTTTAATGCTTGTCATTTGTAATTCTGGATTTTAAATCATGATCAAGGTTATATTTGAACTTACAGACTTGGGCATATTACATATAAACATGTCAAATTATCCACTTAACTTGAAATGTGATTGTCAGTGCTTATGTTTTATGTTCTTAAATGCAAAGGATACTTATATTTGGTCTTTATAACCTTAATACTTTATTTCATATGTGTTTTCCAGTGAATGGAGTCATAGAAAGAGACATCACTTCGATGGTGAAAGTGAATATTCCGGAAGCTTTAAATTATCAGATGGGGGTGAGCAAGGCAGAGAAACAAAAGCCTCATCTTCAGAAATTAAGGATGATCAGGTTATATTACCAATCTTTTTAGTTTGACTATAAAGGTCAAACCTTTCAGGTGCTTACTTTTCTGTGTTTCCTTCTAGTTGAAGCATGTGCAATCTGAAATAGATATGCTAGAAGATCACAAGGAACAACTGCAGGTGAGTTAATTGGACTACTATTTAATTATTTAATTATTTTTCCTTTTTTCTCAAGTGTTAATTGTATATTTTCTCATCAACATAATGGTGCTTAGATCTATTTGGAAGAAAGGATCCAAGAAGAAGATAGTTTAAATTCCAAAATTAAAGAGCTTGATATGCAATTGTCCATAGAGAAAGAGGAATGTAGAAGGTATTTCATGGATCATAGCCAATCTTTATTATATTTTACTAGGTTACTCCTTTTTTTTTTTGCTTTTTACAAATTCTATTTTTTATATTTCAGAATTTCCTCCAAAATTAGGAAATTTGTGAAGGCAAATCATCGCCACTCAAAGTTACAAGATGAACTGAAAAGGCAAGGATCTGTTTCCATTTTCTTGTATTTCCTTAACTGTTTTTTAACAGGTATTGGAATATGTATATAGATCAGAAGCTCGTCTCGAAAGACTTGGGGATCAGCTTGGTTTTGATGCTAGAGCTGCTGCTAATGAAGAGGATATTAGCATTAATTTAATATATTATTAAGTGATGAAGAGACTTTAGGAAATGTCTTAATGAGCCCCAAATATGATAATAAGCCTACTAAGGGTTCACCAAGAAAGGATGAGATGTTAGTGAAGGATTGCCATTCCCCTAGCAAGAAAAGGATGAGGGTTCACATGGTAGATGATGCTGATGAAAAATCAAAACAAGGTAACATAACATAACATTTATGATTTATGAATTTGTCTTGTGTTTGAAACAGAGTTAAGAAACTGATTTGTTTAACAGGAGAATGGGTTGGTGGTAGAAATATGAGATTTGAAAGTGAAAGGCATTCTAGATGGGACCCGGACCCACATCTTGGTCAAAAGAAAAACAATGAAGTAAGGAATGTTAGGCCTTTTGTTAATAACTATGACAAGCCTACAAGAAGAAAGAACACATTCACCAGCTTTCCCTTGGGAGATAATAAGGTGCCTTTTCCCACTTAAAAAAATATCTTGTATTATAGGATAAATTTATAAATTATAATTCAATTAAAATCATGAAATTTAGCTGTTAGATAGATGTGTATTTATTTTTGAATGAATTGAGCAGTTTAAGGAAGCAAAATCCACTACTAGAATGGCAACAACTTTTGTGGATGAAGAGAATGAGGGAGAGTTGCCACTTCCAGCTCCACCTCCTCTTCCTCTTCCAATTGGACAGAAACAGATTGCTTACTTACAACAGGTCAGATAAGTAGTTATCTTCATTTTGCTTTTAATTTCTTAAGAATTGCTACATTACCTTTATGCATAAATTAGAACAAGTGTGCTTGACTATCAGTCATCATCAAAGTACCACTGAAACAGCTTAAGATTTAGATTTCTGAATTATATAATTTTACTTAAAAAGCTCCTCTGTAGTACTTGCCATTTGCCAACTTCATAAGAAACTATGAGTTGAGAGTTTGGCATAAAATGGAAGCTGTTTTAAAAAAATTCTTTGCTTTCTAGTAGTATTTTCCTTATTTATTTTGACTTTGAATATCAAAAGCCATTCCTTTTAATTTAACTGAAAATCTACCTTTTGATGTAATTTCTTGTTTTCCTTTGGAGTTGAATATGTTCATGTCAAGTTTGGTATTGAAAAAAGTTTGTTTGATATTCAAGGTCAAAATTAAGACTACTAATAGAGAGTTGACATAACATATAGATAATACTGTATCTACCCAACTAAAATTGCAAAGCTTTATTCATTTTCAGATAGAGATTAGATTCTCCATTATTGAAGGGGGTATTTTAGACATTTGACAAATAATGAAAACAGTTTTGCCAAGACCATGATTGGATGTAGGAGGTTATTATAGTGGGGATTTAGCATGATGGCTTTCATGTGAGATTTATTTTTTGATTTTGGATTTTGGTTTTGCAGTACAAGGAGGGAAAAGATGATGATGAGAATAATGTGGATGTGGTTGATGATGTTGATGTTGATGACGATGAGATGCTGGATGTGGATATTGTTTGACTACTCTTAGTTATTCATGGATTTGTAACTGTAAGAAACATGTGATTATGATTATGAGGATTGATGATGATGTTCCAAAGTTTTGTAAATACTACTTTAAGTTTTGCATTGCACTTTTAGGCCTTGGATCACTGCTTTTGAATGTTTGTATGTTTTTGGTTTAAAAATTAAATATATATATCATATAATTAGGGATCAAGGTTACCAAACCATAACTCTTTTCTATAAATGTGTGTTATCATTTACTCATACAGACGCTTGATGAAAAAAAAACATGCAAAGCTTATTAAGGTGGTGTAATAACATCAATAGTAATTCACATGTTCTTTCTTACAAAACAATCTAAAAGCCTGAAAAAACAGGGTCATTGTAGTACTAGCTCGTGTGTTTTTTTTTTGTCTAATAAAAACTACACAAGGAATCAAGAACCACTGTCTTACATAAACTACCACCACATCTAATCCACAACCATCAAGCTTTTGAATCTCTTCATAAGGCATGAGTATGATGCAAACAAGAGAAGAAAGTAGAAAGAGCTCTGCTTAACATTGACTTCTTTTTTCTTCCCAATAGTCAAACACCACCAAAAAACTGTTCCAATGATGAAGAGTTGAAGACATTTGATGATGAAGTTTGTTGGCTTTTTGTCGAAATGTGAACCTGCTGTCTGATGAACCTCTGTAATCATTTCAAGGAAAAATAACAACAAATGCATTAGTTATAAGGGCTTGTTTCTTTTTGACTTAATGGATTGGCTAAGCTTATTTATGGCTTATTTTTATAAGCTCATATTTACTGACTTATTTTTCATGAGTTCGGCTTATTTTCTTAGTGTAAGTGATAATAAGCTCAAAAATTGAAAAATAAGTTTGAAAAAATGAGCTTATAAAAAATGAGCTCGAAAAATAAGCTTAGCCAAACACCCCCTAAAGAATTGATGATATGACTTGGATTTGCAGTAGTATTGCCATCATTGAAGGGTATTCTAGACATTTAACTAATAAGCCAAGGTAAACATATTTACCGCTAACTGAGAAGTAATTTCTGGATTTGAGTCTATATGCCAGTCTGGCTCCAGCTGTCGAACAAAAGACATACGCCCATTCTCTGTACTACAAAATAACACCTGCCATTACAACATATCATCACACAACTAATTATTAACACATATACAATAAAGTTGACATTTTTATTAACTCGATCCACAAATTATAACATATAAACAATAAATGTCTTACACTCATTACCTTTTCTTTCACCAGGCCACCGGTTGTAAAAACCCCAGCATTTTCCAATGATGTTAAAACCCTTTTCTGTATACACAAAAAGTATTAAATTCATCAACATCTATTCTATAATGCTTTAATATCTGCTTAAACTAGACCTTAATATATAGATTATAGTAATCGGATAATACCCAAAAAGGGAAATACTTACTTCGCTTTCATCATCAAGAACTCTTTCCATGAGATAAAGATCAGAATACTTTGTGATCTCTGACAATACTTCCAATACAGATAATCTCACTGTTGCTTGATTCTATAGAAACAAAATCAAAATTATTGTCATGTTAATCATTATCAAGATTTTAATGTGTAAAAAAGACAATGACATGAAAGTGTCACATACTTGAAGCTCTTCGGGAGTGTTTTCTTCCAGTATAACCCCAAGCAACCTGCATGTTACCTGCACCAAAATCAACAATATAACAAAAACCATTATGTAAATGAGTAAAATTATATAGCATCATGCATTTATTTAATCATCATTACTAGTTTATTTGTATTTCCTTAAGAGTATTTTAGATATTTCACAAATTAAACAAACATACCTTCCTTCCATCACTTAATCTTTGCCTGACTATTTGTCCCAAAGTAGCCTGCAGCAATAAATCAAACAATTTGTAAGTAAAAAGCCAAACAATACATAGTTGAATGAGAAGATTTTTGTAAAGAATGTCTGTTGAGATTGCAATTTACATTTGCAGGCTGAAAAAACTCATCCGTAGCATTTTGTGTTCTTGAATCTTGGGAAGATGAACTAACACCAGAAGGTAACGAATTTTCATTGCTATGTGAGGGGGATTGTCGTTTAGGTTGTCTTCTTTGAGATCCATTAGGCGACCTTAATGCTCTCCATGTAAAAATTACTGCAACAGCAAGTCCTGCTATAGCCCAAAAAGATCGCACATCCTGAACACCGGGATCTTGTTAATCATTCCGATCAATTATTCGTAACAATGACAATGGAGAAGAAAGTAATTTTGGCATGAGATTTTGTCAGATAATGAAACATCAACCAATTTAATATTCCCAATTGAAAGGTACGGCAGTTTACGGCTAGAGTACAACCAGGACAGCGGACAGCTGACATTACTCTTAGATATACCCTAATTTTAAGGTTTTCCACCTTCACAAACATATATTTATTCAATGAAATTAACCTCAACAACAGCTGCAGATCAATTTTAACAAAAGTATCGACTGTTGAAACAACTCATAAATTTCTGAAAGGTGGTAGAATAATGAATTAGATGTTTGAACCTGGATGTTTAAGATTTTTGAAACCTTGGTGGATAGATAAACCCCAATTCTCTTAATCAGCTGTAACAAATTTTGCTTTGAGTAATCAGCCATGGCTCTAGGGATAACAATTTAATGACTTTGGGCTATCACCCGGAAGAAGAAAATTGGTGAGCTGTTATGGGGTTTTTTAGCGTTGCGGATAGAGATCCAGGTAAGGAGGGGATTTGATCGATGAATTTGGTACGCAGTCGTTGGTGAGAAGTATGATGGATAATGTGAACGAATATCAATAGAACATCGGAAGGAAGAAATGGGAGTCAAAATTGGAACCTATGGTTAGCGCTTTTCGAATAAAAAATATTTTTGATTGTTTATAAATATATATGGATATGGATGTTCACAAATTTTACCATATATTTATGAAAACAACTAAAAATTTTTACGGTTTACAAAAATGACCATTCAATCATAATTATTATTTGCTTCAACAACCATAATTATTTTTATTTATAAGAAAAAGAGGCTTAAATAAATGATTTTATAATGTGAGGACTTTATATGCCAATTTCATATAGTACAAGGGTTTTCTTTATATAAATAAAGCACAATATGAGGGCCTCCTTGTCACTAGACACTAGATATTTTCCGACTTCTTTTTCCGGACCTGAAAATCATAACTCGTAGTTTCCCCGGCGGCGCGTTTCCGTTCTTCTAGCAGCTCCTCCCCCTAAATCCCCATCCTGCCACCGGCCACCGTAATGCCTCATAATAAGAGCCAGCTCTGATTCACTTCCTCATACTCGCGCCTCCATCAAACACACACCTAACTTCACTTCCTCATCCCTCCGGTCTCCTCCCACCTCCAACCGACTCCAGCGCGGCCGTGTTTCTTTCTTGTTTGCCCCAACTCAGCGCTGCCTTCCATCCTCCGACGTCGTCTCCCTGTCCGACCACGCACATCACCGGCACACGGTACCAAACCGTCGCCGTCTCCTTCTCTGCCGTCGCACAGCGCCACTCTTTCCAGCTTTGTGAAATCTGTAAGAAATTCTAAAAATCATGTATATATTTTTTTATGATTTCTTGCTGAGATGATTTTCTTGATGAAATCTTGTTGAAACCTTGCTGAAATCTGATTTTTTTTTTCGTTGAAATTATGTTAAAATCTTTCTGAAAATCAATTTTGTGGCCTTCTTATGCTGAATGTCGATTTTTGCTTGGTATGTTGTTGAAATGCTTGAAATTTTACTGAAAATAGTTCAGAAGGATTCCTCTTGTGATATTGATTCATGGCTTAACAAGTGATTCTGCTTCCACTGTATCTATTTAACTTTGGCTTATGAAATTCTGTGTTTGAACAAAGAAATAGCTACTGTAATAATTTGTCAAACTTTTGATTAATGTAGAGTAGCAATTAATTCAAAAGAAAATAGTTCAGAAGGTTTATCATTTAGCACCATCATTCAGATGTCTAACCAAACAACATGTTTTCATTCAGATGCATATTTTGCAGAGCCTGTGCAATGATTCAGATATGAATCATTCAGATTCTACCAAAAAGCCCTAACTCAAAAACACTCCTAATTTTTAATAAACGTTTTCTTAACATAAGATTTTGCTGCTGTCTATTTGTTCTTTGTGCGATTATGTGATTCGCTGTATTGTTCCTTAATCTCAAAATATTTAAGCACATTGTTTCCATATATTTAGGTAAAAAGCAGAACAAGAAGCTGAACTTTCATCATCATTGTGAACCCTAGTAATTTCCTTATGTGAAAATTAATATAGATATATTAAATTCAATTAGCATCTTGTTTTCCAGAATTCTGAAGTTGAAAAGTATCCGTTTTTGTTACAATTATCAATCCAAATAACATTTTTCTTCGATTTGTTGTCAGAAATTTATAGTTTCTCAGTGTTTGTAGATGTTTTCCTTTATACACCACTCTCATCATTACATTCTTTTACATGGAAGAGTTTTCAGTTTCTTCCTTTCTAATACAGTGAAGCTTCCAACAGTGGACTATTGAAGAACATGGATACTGTTCTACACTTAGGTGGCCTATCTCCAACTATACTTGGATCATTTTCCACACCTAAACACCATATTGCATATAACCTTCATACTAATGACAGAATTTCATCCCTCTTCTTTGAAAAATGCCACCAGGTAACCTAACCATTGCAATCAATTTACTTCTTCTAAATTCATCTCGAATCTTCATTTCTCTTATTTCTCTAGTTTCAGCGCACACATAAACTACATTGGGGAAAAAAATCAAGAACCTCCATTGTTGCTTGTTTCCCCCCTGTTCGTGATACTCGGAGAAACAAGAAACGGTTAACCCACCCTCAAAATACGGATCTTCCTCCTGTATTACCTAAGCAAAAGAAGAAACCATTTCCAATTCCACTAAAGAAGATCTTAGAAACTTCAAGAGCCAACAAAAAGCTAGCAGAAAAAGGAATAGAAAAGCTCCTTGAGCCTCCGAAGAACGGGCTTCTTGTTCCTGATCTTGTTCCTGTTGCTTATGAAGTTCTTGATGCTTGGAAGATCTTGATCAAAGGTCTTTCACAGCTTCTCCATGTCATTCCTGTTCATGCTTGCAGGTTTGTCTTGTCATACTCATACACCTTTTCATTCATTCTCTTATCTTTTAGCTTTTTCAAAATTTGATTCCACTTACAGTTGTTGTTATGCAGTGAATGCGGGGAGGTTCACGTGGGTCCCACAGGCCATGAAATTCAGACTTGCCATGGTCCAAACAGTGCAAACCGAAGAAGCTTCCATTTATGGGTAAAAGGGTCAATAAATGACATTCTTCTCCCTATCGAATCATACCATCAATTCGATCCATACGGAACCCGAATCAAACACGAAACACGATTCGACTACGATAGAATCCCGGCGATCGTCGAGCTCTGCATCCAAGCCGGTGTCGAATTACCAGAATACCCTTCACGCCGAAGAACCCAACCCATCCGAATGTTGGGCAAAAAAGTAATCGACCGCGGTGGAACCATCGAACCACCCAAAACGCCACCGCATTCCGAGGTTTTGGAACTCGACACGCACCGTGCTCTCGAGCGATTCCCGTGTCCGGCGGAATCAGACGTGGTCGGAATCGCACATTCCACACTTAACGCGTATGAGAAAGTGAGATGGGGTGTGGGGAAGCTTATGAGGAAATACAGTGTGAAGGCGTGTGGGTATTGCTCGGAGGTCCATATGGGCCCGTGGGGCCATAACGCGAAGCTTTGCGGGGAGTTTAAGCATCAATGGAGAGACGGGAAACACGGGTGGCAGGATGCCACGGTGGACGAGGTTTTCCCGCCAAATTACGTGTGGCATGTTCGGGATTTGAAGGGCCCGCCGTTGAAGAGCTTGTTGAAGCGGTTTTATGGGAAGGCTCCGGTGGTGGTTGAGATGTGTGTGCAGGCGGGGGCGGTGGTCCCACGTAAGTACAGGCCGATGATGAGGCTCGATATCGTGGTCCCGGATAACGAGGAGGCTCGGTTAGTTGCTTAAACAATGACAATAGTTGAAGTGTTATTGTTGTTTGTGTAGAATTGAAGTGGTTGTTTGTAGCTTTATATAAAACATTACGAAAGATCGCATACAACAAAACTCAAATTTGGATATATGTAAATATGTGATTCCCATTTACAATATTAATCGGGGATAAAAATGTAAATATAAATCTAAATTTTTAGGTAAGGCAACCGTTTGAGAGAGGTGAAGAGAAACTTTCCATGTCTTCTTCTATCGGAATTTCAGCAATGTCTTCAATGGTGTTTGTTGTATGAATTCCTCTTTCAATCTTGAGTGTCGTAGTTCCATTCCATAGTATCATTTCCCTTTCCAAATGGAGACAATAACTCTCAAAGACACGAGAGGTGACTGTGAGCTCAAAATCTAACATGAAAAGGAACTCCACTTCAAGTCTGTTTAACTCGGCATTCGTCACACCCCCAACTCGAGCATAAAATGCGTTGTTGTAATGTCTGTTTTCATGCATTAAATCAAATTAATTATTAAAATTATCTTGTATAAGATCATTAAAAATACAAGAGTTAATAATAATGAATAAAAACGTTACTAATAAATAAAATTAATTAAAATATTTTAATAAAATAATAATGTGTAAATTAGGGAGAGAGAAATGAAGACATACACGTCATCCAGAATCTTAGCAGCCACCATTATACTTGTAACAAGCAGTCTATGAACATTTAGCCGCACCACTAGCGAACCGGGATGTCTGTGAACCAACCGGTCTATATAAACGTACCCCACCACGAAACAAGCCGGGCTACAGTTTGTGTACTTGTATATCCGGTCTAGATACTTGGCTATCGTGATTGCCGGCGGTCTAACGCCGTGAAACGCCTCCAAGTTTTTCCCCAGCCGTGCAGGTGCTCCGCCGCCGCTGCTTAAACTCAATACCTCATCCCGGTTCACTAGTCTTTCGAGAACAACAGATAAGATCGACAACACTCTTGGGGTCGCCGGATCCTGTTCGGTCTGCTCCGGCAGCCGGTTCTGGCCATTATCGGTGACGGAGATGGCTAACATGTATGAGGCGGTTGTGGGGTTGGCTGGGGAGAAGGGTGAGAATTTTATTGGATGGGAAATTTGGTCCTATGCATGTCTATCTATTCCTATTGGCCTCATGAAAATTTTACACTAATACCCCCGGACTATATCCATGTTGAATTTGGAGCCGTAATATATTTTGCTTATGATTCTTTCTCCTTTAACAGGTTCCAAAGTTATATAACGGATTCATAAAGGGTAAAATCGACATTTTGAGTCTGTTAGATTATAGTTCCAACAATACGACCAATGAGTATGTAGAATAATAAAATGTTAAGAGAAAAAAAAAAATCAAATGATCAAGAATAAATGTGAATTATTTAATTTGATTTGGTGATTTAACACCGGATTTATAGTGGGAAACCCAATCTCAGGAAAAACCCCACTTGAAGAACACTAAATGTTAATCTCTTTAATTTAAAGGTTACAATCGCTAATGAATAAAACCGAAAAAGAGATGATAATAAAATATAGAGTAAATTACATGAATCGTCTCTTGTACAACTCACAAAATGCACGTTCTGTTTCTATTTTCAAAAATTCGAATCTATCACTCGTTTGACTAAAAGTTGCATGTTGATCCCTCATTGGTTTAAATTGCATGTTTCATTCCTTACAAGATAAATGACTATAATGTCTTTTTCAATTTATGCTCACTTTTTTTTTATATTTCTGATTATATGTGATTATTAAATTTTTTTAATTAAATTTAATATATATTTCTCTTTTGCATTACTAGAGAAAACTTAAACACCATCAACGGAAAAATGAAGCACCATCGGAAACCCTCTTGACTCCCACCACTGACCACCACCACAGTTCCTTTTATTTGTTCACGTCCGACGAGTAGCATCTCCGTCGGAGATGTGGTACGCTGTCGGAAAAAACATCACTACTGTCGGTTTTCTCCCTCTCACTTTATCTTCTCCTGAAACCCTGGAGCATTCATTGCCATCTGTTTCCTCAATCATCTTCCCAAACAGAGCAGAGAAACATAAAACACACAAATAAATACCTTATGTGTTTCTGCTGATACGATATATATATATATATATATATATATATATATATATATATATATATATATAGAGAGAGAGAGAGAGAGAGAGAGAGAGAGAGCAAACGAGAGGTCACCATCACCACCTGTGCGCTAGGGTTCATGATGGATTTCACTTTGGGGCTTTCAGATCGAGCATCACCACCACCAGGAATCGAAGGTGGTGAGACGAGTTTGGAATATGCAAATCCGATGGTGGTGATGCATCAGAACCTGCATTGAGCGACAGTGATGCGTTGGAGCAAAGTCACATCATCTCGATCTTCTTTTGTAATGAGAGAACCCATCACCAGAAAGATATGGAAAACACATCTCATTTCTTTTATTATTCTCTCTAATCCTTCAAGAATTTGTTGAGATCTGCAAATCTAAAACTGTTTTTGAAGTTCACGAAGTTGAAGTTGAAAACTTTCTTGCAGTTAAAAGTTGAAATCGTTGCACTTTTGAAGAACTATGATGGCAAAGATAGAATTGTCGGAGAAGCATAAGGGGTTATCGATTTTGATATGGGTGGAGTTCGAAGACATGGGGGGAGGGAGACGAAGTGCTTAGAGCAACTCCAACCATGACCCTCCAAAATCTTTAAAATGGTGTTGCTTCAACACAAAAATACAGGTTCTATTCCAATCTTACTTTAAAATTTTATATCAAAAACATATATCATATATTTTATTAATAAAATACTATTTTTCCTAAAAAGTAATGAGTTTACACCCACAAGTTCTTCATAGAATTAATATTTTATTAATATCATTAAAATCATGGATGAATAGTAGCCCACTATATTTGTGTGTTACTGTAGCATAATATAAGAATACCGGCCAAAATAACGGACTATCGGAGCAATTTAACCCTGCAAAACAGAAAAATGCATGACGGTTGGAGAAGCTCTTAGGGAGTTAGGGTTTATAGCATTTTTTTTATTAAAGATAATTTTTTTTATTATAATAAACAAATCAATAAATAAATAACAAATAAATTTAAAAAAATTATCCTTTTATGTCTGGAGGGATGCAACGTGTAACTTTTAACAAAACAAAGAATGGTTCAAATTAATTTTTAAAAATAAAGACTGAACGCGTATTTTTAAACTTACACGACAAACGATTCATGTAATTTACTCTAAAATATACTATCTAACTCCCCTCCCCTTTATATAGGAGAATAAATGCTACTCCTAATATTACTCTAAAACATAGATATAGATAACCCAAGTAAAAAATGTCTCCTTAGGGAACAAGGAAAAATGACAGCTATCAAGTTTGATTTTGGAGCATATTCAACAATTTTTAATCTTGAAATACCAACAATCTATTTTAAAACATATCTGGAAAATTATTCTAATTTGTTAATAAAAGAAAGTTCAAATGTCATTGTTTATTAATTATGAGTTTTAAGATATTCATGTTATTACATAATTTCTTTAGCAAGATGGACAATCCACCTTCGTAAATCTTACAATTTTGGGCCTTATCGATTTTAGGGATGACAACGGAGCGGGTTTGGGACGAGTTTTGATAATCCCGCCCCCGTCCTCGAATATGAAAATCGATCCCATCACCGACCCGATTCTCAACGGGTACCCATTTACCAAACACTATCGGGTCTGCGGGTATCCCAACGGGGTAATGGGGATCCCTGTTTAACATTCAAATTAAGAATAATTTTGATGCAATGAGAATACAAAACCATTAGACTTAGTGATGCAAGAATAAATTCATATCCAAAATAATTTTGATAATTTACAAAACGATTAAGAGTAGACATATTTGTTCTGATACATAAGTGGTTACTAGTGGCAAAAAAAAAAAAAAAAAACAGTAAATACACTAGCATTCATAAACCATAATATCACTGTTACTTTAAGTACTATGAATAAAGAAAATGTAAAAACACTAGCACTACAAATAAACAGGAAGTTATCTCAAAAATTTATATATATATATATATATATATATATATATATATATATATATATATATATATATATATATATATATATGAATGGTTTCAAGTAATGGGTTTCGGTTTCGGTTTCGGTTTTGGTTCGGGTAATCGGGACGGGTATTTTGTTTACCATCCACATAACCAAACCCGCGAAAATTTTCTAAAAGCATACCAAACCCGATCCCGACCCGCTTAACCAACCCCAGACCCGACCCTAATATGTTGGTTTTCGGTTTTTACCATCGGATTCGGTTTCTTTTGCCATCCCTAATCAATTTAATTATCTATGTTAAAATCAACATACTTGTCACAAGTTGAAACATTTATTGGGAACTTTCGGACATTCAGTTAGTAGCCAAACTATTCCCTAAACTCCATTAGCAATCCAAGTTTATCTTGCTTTAAACTGCTATAGAAAAGAATACAACAATATTATCTTAGTTCATACGTATGGGTAAGTAAAAGATAGGATGATCGCCAGCACCTACGATAAAGTGGGGATATAGAGAACAATTACATTCACTATGTTTCTAATTTTGGAACTGTATATTAAAAATATTAGAACTACAAAACTATAAATTTTTTATACAAATAATCCAACTTTTAAATATTGTTATATAAATCAATAAACTTCATTAGCGCGCTATAATTTTTAAGTCAAAGCTATTCAAAACAAGTAGTAGTGATGAAATGAAAATATGTGGTTACTAATTGAAATCTGCCTTCAACCAAGACAAATTAGGTACCTAACCGAGACAAACGAAAATATTATGGGTCAAATCTGTAGTATAGACAGAGTCTAGGGGCTCTAAGTAATGTTCTCTTTTCGGGTAATGCTTAGTTGTTTGCTTGACACGTGGCACTCAGAGAAAGGCTGAAAAACATGGGCCTATATGGATTTCTGTGGATAATGAGGTAATTGTTTGTTTGGTGTTTCATGTTCGGTATCTTTCATTTATCAACAAAGAAAAAGTAACACATCCACACTCAGGGCGGATTAGGCGGGGGAGGATAGGAACTTGTTTCTTTTTCTCTCTTTTCTTTTTGGTTTTAATGTTAATTTTATGTTTCATGTTAAAAGAATTTATTGGCTTATGCTTATGCCATATCAATTATATGAAAATGTATTTTAAAAATTATTTAATTAGTTTATAAGCCATCAAAACACAATAAACTGATAAATAGATAGAAGCCTATTAAGTGCAATCTAAGCATTCAAATTAGTTGTTTTTTTTTTTTTTTTTTTTTTGATTTTAACAATATCAAATTATAATAACTTAATAAGTAGCTTCTATAAGCCATAAATATTACATCATTTTTTGAGAAATATTGTCTCTATAAATTTTGAAGAAAAAAACTATTCTTAAGCGTTTTTGTAGTTAATTTGTATTGTAATATGAAATATTTTTGTTTTGATTGTATCCTTTTAAGTAAGGCCTAATAAATTAGAATATATATATATATATATATATATATATATATATATATATATATATATATATATATATATATATATATATATATATATATATATATATATATATATATATATGGAAAACTGAATATAACCTTAAGGGCATATAAGCTTAAGTACTCAAACTCACTATATTACGTTGTTTTGTTTCATATATATAAATTTTAATTGTCTAATATTCTTATAATTCAACTTCTAACTTGATTTACTTCCATGATTTTCATAAATTTCACATTTATCTTCCTCGTAATTTTCATTTTCAATTATAATATATATAGCCTAATAGGTGTTCGGTAAAAATATATGATTTAAGAGAAAGATAATAGTGAAATTTTGAAAATCTTGAAATTAAATGAAGTTAAGAATTAAAGTTTAAAAACTTTATAATGAATATATCAAATAAAACGATGTATTACGGTGTGTTTGGGTACCTAAACATATATACTCTTAAGGGTATATATATATATATATATATATATATATATATATATATATATGTAT